TTTTTTTTTTTTTTTTTTTTTCTTTTTCTTTTTTGTCTGTTATTTTTATTCGCTTTTAGTAATTCTTTGTGTATGTACATTGATATGGTTATACAGAAGTATAGTATATCCTGCAGATACATTGTACAGGTTTATCTTTTTGATATTGTTATTGTTAATTGAAGTTCATATTAGTATAGAACTGTGTAAAATAGATATCTTTGCCTATATATGTGGGTTTTTAGGTGTCAGTGTTGCGGTTTGTATGTGTGTGTATGTGTGTGTGTGTGTGTGTGTGTGTGTGCGTCTTTGTGAATACTAAAACAGCCTAAGCAAAATCGATATTTGAACGGTATAGTCTTTTTTTTTTTCCTGTTTGTTTGTTTATTTGAAGAGGAGGGTAAATTTATTGTCTCCTTGTTCCCATCTTTTTTTTTTCACATTAACTTCTTAATTTTATTTCAAACTTTTTGACGAATTGATACGAAAGTGGAAGTTTTTGAAAAAAACTGGAAGTTTTTTTTTTTAATACCAATTTTTAGTGCTACTATTTGTTGTAGCTGATACTAACGCCTGATCAAAATTTGTCAAGACAAATTTTTGTTTTATTGTTTTTGTTTGAGAAAGTTCGTTTTTGTGTGTAGCTGTGATAGTGGTGAATGGTAAAAACGAATCGGGTTGATAGTTGTGCAGATAGGTTTATTTATTTTGTTGGTTTTACTCCTAATAAAAATTTTTGTATTCTTTTTGCGCTCTCTAATGACTCCAATAAGATGCGGTCATTTTTTTTTTTCTGCTCTGTCGGAATACATCATTTTATGGTATCCGAATAATATTCTCTTTTTGTGAAACGTTTTTACATGTTATATATCGTTTTTGCGTGTTATTATTTGTTGGTATTTGTTGCACTAAAATAACGATTTACCCGTTGTCGAAGGGGAAAAAAAGTTTTTTTCTTTTTCGAGATCAACAGATAATTTGTTATGCATTGATGTTGTTGCTGTTGTTGTTGTTCCTTAGATCTAATCTATTCTATTGACTCTACTGTTTAGGTAACCTCACTGGAATTCAGTCTTTGGATTTAGGGTTGTTGGATACATCTGTTTTGTTGTAAAGTACGTTTATGGACGATTAGAACAGTTAGTTATACAAATTTTTTTTTTCTTCATCTCTTTGGAACTTATTTTTATTTTTATTTTTGTATTTCTTTACTGAACATCAGTAGTCCTCTGATTCATTTTCGTCTTCGACATCATGATCTCAGAATCGTACAATACTATTTTCGTTTGAGAACTTTTCAGCTATACAAGCGTGAAGTTTGCTGAATTTGATGAAAAATTTTGCTGTTGTGGGCTGAGTGGAGTTTAATTAGTTTTTGATCCCTGAACAGAAAAGTACGAATATCACTGCTCAGCTTCTTCTTTACTCGAATTTTAATAGAAATTTTAGCTATTTTTTGAGGTATTGTTCGATGATTTGAAATTTTTTTTTCAATTTCTTATCCATATAGGTATACGTAGTGTCTTTCGTTTTACATTTTGGCTCTGTCAGTTTATTTTCATATTTAGCCGTATATATTAAGAATGGTTGTTCCAGTAACAGAACGTGGATAAGGCATGTTAGTTTTGTCGATAAATCAACTGTTTTTATTTTGAAGAAGATACCGCGTACGTTTTTTTTTGTCTACCACTGTAGTTGCTATATTTCAAAATTTTTTGGGTATCATTGTTCCCAGTCAGTAAAAGAAAATGTGGA